GGAGCCGTGCCTGCCACCCCTGCAGCCCCGGGCCCGGTGGACACGGAGGCTGGCTCAGGACAGGGTCAGCGGGAGTGCTTAAATGAGTGCTTTTTTTAATAAATATATTTTATTAATTTTTTAGAGAGGAAGGGAGAGAGAGATAGAGAGCTAGAAACATTGATGGGAGAGAAACATCAATCAGCCGCCTCCTGCACATCTCCTACTGGGGATGTGCCCTCAACCCAGGTACATGCCCTTGACCGGAATCGAACCTGGGACCTTTCAGTCCGCAGGCCGATGCTCTATCCACTGAGCCAAACCGGTTTCGGCGGGTCTGTCCCTTTTCATCAGTCTGTGTTGTTCTCTATAATGTGTGGGGTTCTTTAGATCCAGGTTGTGTCCAGGGCAAAGAAGGTCAACCTGAGAGAGCAATTCGTTCTTTCAGAAGCCACCGGAGTAAAGACCCAGATTTCTAGGAGGAAGGAATTTAACAGCAGCGCATCTACCAACCGATAGGGCCTGAGAGAAACCTGATAAGGAATCAGCCAGAGGCCTAATCAGTGACAAAGATGGCCTTTGCCCAGACACTGGGCCCCGAACGTGGCTTTAATCTAGGAGGTGTTGAAAGAGCACAATAAATACTTACTCCATCCAGTCAAATCCAAGAGTTTGAAGAAAAACTGCAGAGTTTAGGTTGTGTGTGTCCCTCCGCCACGTGAGATGTGACTCTGAGGGAAGGCACTAAGCCAGACCCTGACGATGGTGGAGGGGCCCAGAGCCTCATGCCGGGCCCTGGACTCCTGCCCCGGTCGGTGGACAGGAGCAGGAAGCACACATTAACCGCCTACACCGGCCGCCCTTCTGAGAGGGAGCAAGAGCTGTCCTTTGCACCTCACCTCTTTCTGGCCCAGCTGACACCAATTCAGGGGAGACATGGCATATTGATTTTCTAGGACTGCATAACCATGCACCACAAACTGGGTATCTTAAAGCAGCAGAAATTTATTTGCTCAGAGTTCTGGAGGCAAGAGGTCTGAAATCAAGGTGTCAGCAGGGCCATGCCTCCTCAGAGATTGGGTTCAATCCTTCCTTGTCTTTTTTTTAAAAATATATTTTATTGATTTTTTACAGAGAGGAAGGGAAAGGAATAGAGAGAGAGAAACATCAATCAGCTGCCTCCTGCACACTCCCTACTGGGGATGTGCCCGCAACCAAAGTATATGCCCTTGACTGGAATCAAACCTGGGACCTTTGAGTCTGCAGGCGGACACTCTATCCACTGAGCCAAACCTGTCAGGGCCCTTCCTTGTCTTTTCCTAGCTTCCTAGCCGTAGGGAGCTGACAATCCTTGCGTCCCTTGGTTTAGCAGGGGTGGGGAATGTCTGGCCCAAGGGCCATATAAAGTCCTCGAAATCATTTGGCCTGGCCTTGCCAAGGCAACTGCAGGCAGGACTCAAAATTCAACAAATCTAGGAGCTTTGTTCATAGCAACATAAATGTACATTAAGTGAGTGATATTGAGCAAATGATGTTACAAATATCCAAATGGCTCCTGGCAGGAAAAAGGTGCCTCACCCCTGGTTTATAGCTACATCCCTCCAATCTCTGCCTCCGTTGGCACGTGGCATTCTCCCAGTCTCTCTGTCTTCTGGTGGCATTCTCCTCTTTATAAGGACACTGGTCATAGTGGATAAGGGCCCACCCGAAGTACCTCTTCTTCACTTGATTATATCTGCAAAGAACCTGTTTCCTAATAAGGTCATATTCACAGGGACTAGGGCTTAGGACTTCACGATACCTCTCTTAGGGAAAACAACCCATAATATATGGTAACGGGGCTACGTTTGCTATACGGGCTGTAGCACAAGCTGAGGGGGTAGTCAACACAGGGACATTCCATACGTGCCGGCGAGGGGGCACATTGAGGCAGCAGGTCCATCTCTCCGGAACCTCAAACACATCCATGTCCTTGAATCCAGTAATCCGTTTCTAGGAAGTCATTAAACAAGTTGGTAAAACCTGTGCAGGGGTATGTCTGTCAATGCTGTTTGTAATAATTAATTACTGGGAACAACTTCAATGTCCCACGGGTAGGGATGGCGACTAAAGGTGTATCCATATGAGGGGATATTATGTAGCCTTTGGAAAGGATGTTTCCAGAAAAGAAAAATAACAGGAAAAACAAAATGATATGTTTTAGTATGTTGTCAACTTTATTATTATTTTTAAATATATTTTATTGATTTTTTACAGAGAGGAAGGGAGAGGGGTAGAGAGTTAGAAACATCGATGAAAGAGAAGCATTGATCAGCTGCCTCCTGCACATCTCCTATTGGGGATGTGCCCGAAACCAAGGTACATGCCCTTGACCGGAATCTAACCTGGGACCTTTCAGTCCGCAGGCCGACGCTCTAGCCACTGAGCCAAACCAGTTAGGGCTGTTGTCAACTTTATAAAAATATATAAGGAAGGAAAAAAATCAGCATAATGTTAATGCCCACCCACCCCCCCTTTATGGAGGAATTATGAGTGATTTTGTTATTTTTAAAAATTATGACATTATATAAACTCTCTTCATTAGCTTTATAGCCAAGGGAGGGGGGGGCGGGGGGACGAATGATCTTTTAAAAATAGGTATATGAATAGTTTCCTGGAGTATACATTCCAGGAGAGTTCTGGCTGGAGGAGAGCAGCAGCTGCTGGGTGTCCGGCTGATTTCCGTGCTTATAGCCCACACCATCACCCCCGGGAGCTTTTCAGCATGTAGTTGGGTGGCTACTTGCATCAGAATTACCCAAGGTGCACCCGGCTGGTGTGGCTCCTATGAACCAGGAGGTCACGGTTCGATTCCCAGTCAGGGCACATGCCCGGGTTGCAAGATCGATCTCTAGTAGGAGTGCAGGGAGCAGCCGATCAATGATTCTCTCTCATCATTGATGTTTCTATCTCCCTCTCCCTTCCTCTCTGGAATCAATAAGGATATATTTTAAAAAATAACTGCCCCTGACGGTTATTTAAAAATGCAGGATTCTAGGTCCCACCCCAGACCGCCTCAATCAGGGTCTCCAGGTGCAGGGCCCAGGAATTTGCATTCTCACAGGCTCTGCGCATTTGAGACTGAATTCCCCCACCCACTCATCAGTAATCCAGTGTGGTTTGTCACACCAGTCATCGATGCCCTCCCAGCCCACACCGTGCTTTGAAGAATAAAATAAAATAGAGAAGTTATTCTCTTAATAAAGTCTATTTTTGGTTGTCTCACCTAAGAAGGGAAGCTGCAGAACACAATATTAAAACGAATAGGAAATTCATCATTGTGTTTTATTTTGGAACGCGGTAGCAGCAGCTTGCGTTTCTTCATTTAATAATTAAAAGGAATTTAACATTCCCAGACTCGGCCCTAGTGTGGGGTTCAGAAAGTTGCAGGAAGACATCAGCCCACAGTAAAAGGTTTGCCCATTAACCAGGGGGTGTTTCATGTGCAGGCAGCTGAGAACCGTAATTACAGACGGTGATTTCTTATAACTTACAACCTTGAGGTTTCCTTTATGGCCGGGCCGGGGAGCAGTATCAGAGGACAGAGGCCGGTGGAACGTTGTCCTCTTGAAGGCGTGTCCTGGTTCAGGGCAGGGCTGGTGTGAAGGCGGGTCGAGCCCTGCGGTGCTGGGACTTGTCGAGACCCAGGCAGGCCTGGCGTGCTCAGGGGGGGCCCAACAGCTGTGCAATTAGACAGCTCATCAAGGGGTGAAATTCAACCCCATGGAGAGGCAACAGTCCAAGGTCTTAGTCCATACATGTTGCTTCTGGAGTTGGTCATAGGCGCGTGGGTGAGCCGTCCTGAGAGTGAAATACGTGTCTACACGTGGGAGCACTCAGAAGAAAGAACCAGAAGAACAGCAACTGTGAAACTGTGCGTCTCACCTCCTGGATGCGGTCATGTCCCCTTTCTGCGCCTTCGCACAGGTGGCCTCAGGATGCCCCTCGCCTGAGCCCGTCTCAGGGGGAGGGGGTAGGCTCCGGAGGGGCGAAGAGCCGGGCACCTGAATCACACCTTCCATTTGTGCTTTGTCATCATGCCCAGCTCGCAGGCTGGCGGGGGCCAAATCTCCCGCGGTGAGAGGGGGGCTGCCTCCCGCTCCGCCGCTCCGGGCGGGTGGTCCTGAGCAGCGGGGGGCTGAGGCCCGGCCCTGGGGAGCACAGGCCGACGGTCAGCCCGCTGCCCCTCCCAGGCGCCCTCTCCTGCAGCACAGGGAGGAGTCGGGGAAGCCGGCGAAAGGGTTAGGACCCACGGAGGAGAGAAACGTGAAAGGAG